ATGATGAGGGCAATGAATGTGCAAATGTGCTTTACACAATTGATGTGTGTATGGATGGTGATAAGAGTTGTATGAGCCCCTAATAAAATGATTGAAAAAAATAAATTAAAAAAAAAGAACTGACCTCTTTCTTCCTCTCCACCTATTTCTCAGCCCTCTGGCCTATCACCCACACAGCTTTGGCTCTGTTGCCCTCCTTCCCGCTCTTCAAACAAACCAAGCACTTGCCCTTCGGTGGTTACTTTCCTAGAAGTCATCCGACATCTAGTGCATCATATATTGTTTACTTTCTTTACTTTAGAATTTAAAACATTCTGCATTTATATTATTGGCCTGCTTACCAGTTTTCAAATGTTTCTCTCTTGATTAAACAGTAAGATCTGTCAAAGCAGAGACCTTATATTGTGACTTCATGGTTGTGTCCTGTGAAACAAGAGGAGGTGTTTGTTACTTAGTAGGCATTCAATGGATCCTTGTTAAATAACAGAAAGGATGAATAAATAAGAGAATGATTGATCTCAAATCCTATTGAGATTCCCTAACCTTTTCATACCTACCCAAATGATTCATCTTTAGTCATCAGTGTCAGTTTGATTGCTAGTTAGTTATGCAAGACACATTTTCTTTATTTGTTTACTTTTAGAGTATTTTTTATTGAGGTAAGCATATGGGTAATTAAAAAATCTCCCATATGCAACCATCTTTCTGTGTACAAATTATGTTATTAAATAGGCCCCTCATGTTCTTCAACCATCCCGTTCTTATTCATTTACTGTGGGGTCTGCCTGTGGCTAGTGGTCATTTTTCTTAAGAGTTGTTTTAGCAAATGCTTTATGAGGAAATGGATAGGAAAAACATATCAGGGTGCTGATATATTCAGAATGCCTCCTGACTATATCAGGGTGCTGATATATTCAGAATGCCTCCTGACTGACGTGGTCAGTGCCCAAACAAATGATGTCCACTCATCAATCATTCTTCTGCCTCCTGCAATTGAATGTCCCCAAAGACGTCATCAGATCTTCTCAATCCGGAAGACTGACAGCAAGTCTCTGTGGAATCCCTAACTACTGTAGATGGAGAAAGGTCCTTGATACGAAGATTTTAAAAGCCTCAATTTCCGAATAAGGGCAGAAAACTCACAGCTAACACTATTGGTATTTGTGAAGTTTTTGAAAGGACCAGAGAATGAAGGCAAGTAAAGGTTCAATTTACTTGAGAAATTTACTTGAGAGAAGTGTAGATTTATTTTTGGTTCTTTAATGTTTAATATTTGAAGGGAAAATGTCTTTAAAGGGGAGTAATTCGACCCTTTTACTATTGCTTCTTAATTCATTTAATTTGCTTCATTTGGGAGAGGAAATAGAGACTATGTTTCTTAAAACTTTTAAATATAGGGACCGTGCATTTGCTAGAAACAGCCCCGCGTACTAAGTGTTAAGATAGACCATGGTTGAATTGAACGGATTTGTCATTATCATCAAGGGTAGGGCACAGAAGCCCTTCTGGGCCCAGCAACGGCCCTCACCCCCTTGGTTGATGGTTCCCTAGGGACTGGCAAGCCTGGTGGCCATGGCCTTGACTCTCTTCCTGGTGCTCGCTTTCATCCGAGACTCCAGCAGCGCTCCACAGGTAACCAGATGCCAAAAGCAACAGGACTGGTCTGTCCACACTTGGCCTTTTGGTTTTGAAACTCGTGCACTGGGGCGCACAGTCTGATCACTAACCGCTTTCTCTCTGGGGGTGCAGAGACTCTTGGAGAGAAGGAACTGGACCCCTCAAGCTATGCTCTATCTGAAGGGTGCACGTGAGTTCCCCCCCTGGGCTCTCCGACCGCGGGGTGCGGGCGGAGCGCGCGCGGGGCCGCTTCCCGGTCCCTCAGGGCCCACTGTCGCCCTTGGGCCTCCGCGGCTGAGCCCGGCGCCCCTAAGTCTCGCGTGTCCCCCTTCGCAGAAGGGCGCC